AACCGTCCGTTCAATAATAAGAAAAAAAATTGAACATATGAGATCCTTCATCCGGCTATCTGAGTGTTTTTTAAATTGACCTTGTCCCAGATTTTTTAATTCAAAGTTTTGCATAACTGCCTACTCGCGAGAATATATCGATGCCAAAAGGTAGTTTCATTTTGAGAGCCAAGTCCGCTGTGCTTAGCCGGTGGTTGTCGCCTGCCGCATTTCATCGCAAAGCTCCACTTTGGTATTCTTTTTGCGTTAGCCCTACCACCTTTTCCACCGACAAAGGACGACGACGAACAATCTATACAACCGACAAACGACCGTTAACTTACCAGTACCAGCAAGTGCCATAAAGCTTGTTAATAAATATGGCCTTATTTTCAAAACGCCTAAATAAATAAAAACCCTTTTTATTTTTATCTCAAGAAGAGATAAATATCACGTGGGGATAGCAGAAACTAAGCAAATCAAACCCTCAATATCTGATTGGTACGTGGTAAAGTTGGGTAGGATTTTTTTAGTTAAATATTTTTACATATAAATTATAATTGCAAGCACGGCTAAATATTTTCTAATTAATTATTGGATGATACTTTGATATTAAGTGTTCAGAATAGACAACTGTAAGTAAGAGCAAAAATATAAGAATAACTATTTGGAGATCGTTAAATGCGGTCTGGTGTGATGTAGGTTTAAGAAAAATATTTTCTTTATCGTGCCAACGTTTCGATCTTTATTGAGCCCTGAAGATGATCTCAATAAAGATCGAAACGTTGGCACGATAAAGAAAATGTTTTTCTAAAACCTACGTCACACCAGACCTCATCTCTCCAAATAATCATTAACTACTAACGGTCACTACACCACTCATATAAGAATAACGGTTACAGAACAGGGTATTTTTGTTTGGTGGAAAACTAAGGAACTTCTATCTTTGCCACTCTTTATTAGTAAACAACGAACTACTTGGTCTTAATAATAAAAGCATTTAAAACTTAATGCGTCAATTATACATGTTCCTATACACTCCATGCCATCGTATGTAATACAGTGTGTTTGGTAACAAATAAATGGTGAGATGAGAACTAAATTTAATCCTTGCGCAACGATCCTTTCAAAGGGAGTCGTCACAAAGGGCCCATCCATCAACTCCAGTGCCCGAGGCAATCGCTGAACTTAACCGCTAAGTCCTCCCAGGAAATTGCGCAAAATCCAGTTAATTCCAGTGCGGAACAATGAAAATGGCCCTCTCACGGGATTAATTCATCCTGGAGTTCCGACAGGTCGAACTGCTCGCCGTATTCGTTTCTCGACAGCTTCACTTACTTCTCTGGACCAATAACATTGACTATGTAATATCTATAAATATATGTGGTGGTGTTTAGCGACCGTTAGTCAATGATTAATCGGAGATCGTGAGACGTAGTCTAGTGTGACGTAGGTTTAAAAAAATATTTTCTTTATCATGCCAACGTTTCGATCTTTATCGAGATCATCTTCAGGGCTCAAAGTGTTTGTTTTCCGTGTAGAAGTGTCATTCTTGTGTTTCGTGTCAGGAATGACACATCTACACGGAAAACAAACACTTTGAGGCCTGAAGATGATCTCAATAAAGATCGAAACGTTGGTACGATAAAGAAAATGTTTTTCTAAAACCTACATCACACCAGACTGCATCTAACGATTTCTGAATAATCGTTTTTTTAAAACTTATTAAATTCACTAGTCATACCAGCCGCATCTCATGATGTATAATCTAATAATCTATAAGTATAATCTATATTAAATAAAATGAATACTACGAATTTTATAATTATAATAGTGATTTAATGTAGCGATTCCTGATAGGCTTTAAAGCGTTCTGTTCAATTACTAATTAGTACATTTATAATCATTTCTCACAATCCAATGATTTCTCTCTGAAAAAACCCTGATCTGCCTTTATTTCTATACAATGCGATAGTAAATGAACCAACAAATAAAAAGAAAAATTGAACTTAATTGACAAGCATAGAATTTACGTACAAGGGAACGGAAAACTTTGCCATACTAGGATGGACAACAGAGTTTTGTCAAAACAGGAAAAATCTTGATAAGCATTGGTTAAAAATTGGTTGGAAAGGATATTTAAAATTAAAAGAAAGTAAATTAAAGTAAAAAGTAAAATTTAAAGTAATATTTAAAAAGCTATACAAAGACTACTTTAACGCTTCTAACGAATGGAACAAGACTTGAGAGTAAGCGACGAGTGGACATACAAAACCGCTCTTTCCCTCGATAAATAATAACTACTTATTAAACCACTAATTCCTAATCTAGAATAGAAGCAAGGGATCTGCCCCAACATGACTACCATTCTGACTGGACATGCACCATACAGAAGCTACGTCCACAGAGTAACAAAATCCGCTCACCATATTGCGCTTGTGACAACAGGCAGAGGAGTACAACTCATGAGGGAGGTTCTGTGTGTGATTGTGCATATTGGAAAAGGGTTGTTTATGCTATAAAAACCTGCCTACAGCACTAACCCTATGGCCAACATTGTAGCCGAAGCCAGCCAACTCTGGCACTTAATTTGTTACCGGATTAACGGCGAGAAGTTTCGTGGGTTGGCAGGTAGTAGAGAGGGCTTAAGCGTGTAGGGTTAGGTGGGGTTGGAGTGAAATTTGAGCAAGTGGGAAAGGATTAATTCTTTAAAAGAGAACGAACGTTAAGGTCATCACAATAGGAAAATTAGGTTAGACATGTAGTAAGGTGCTTAAAGAATTCTTAGATTAATTTGATACTAGATCTCTTGGTGGCACTCGAAGTAATGTTGGGTACAGAGTTAGTTTGTTCTTTACAATCATCCTGATTTTGTCCCTAGATGTCTGAAGTTGTCCAAGTCGTCTGTTTAGATGCTGCCGCTTGAAGCTTGTATGGAGATTTCATATCAGTTTAAGTCGTAAGTTTGTATTTGTAAGATGTAGGCAGTTCCTTGTTAATATATAGACGCGGGCGTAATCTGGGTGCATTTGACCTCATTCAGTTACTTTTTTCCATTCTTCGCCTCAAGATGCACCTGGATATTTGGCTATAGGATGTGACTAAGAATGCTCCCTCGGTGTTAGATAAGAATTTAATATTAGGGAATAGGGATCGCGTAGGAACTGTTTCAGTTTAAAGAACTCTCCGGTGACAGACTCGTCTATGAACATGCAAGAGCGATATCCATACAAAGCGGAGAAAATAGTACCAACTAACCTGAAGCTTTGCTAAGTCGTGGAATGACGATTTAAATATTTATTTTTAATAAGAGCCTGTAGTAATAAATTCTCAAGCAGTGGGTGTATTGTTGGGGAGAGTATTGAAATTGTTAGTTTTGGCTAACCTCAGAACTATTTTTCTCTTTATCTATTCGAACATAGTTGTGTTACAACTGCCGCTTATAGTACACAAGTTTCAATATCATATTTTCTGAATTAATTGTCTGAAGTATTAGAAGTATCGACCAGTTTTTCCCTCACGAGCACTCTGGGATCACAAGGTTTGGTCTTGAAGTAAAAAAGAATTCAGTTGTTATTTCCAAGCTTTCCACCTATTTTAAGGTCACCATCAGGGCAAAACAATCTTAAATATGTCTACAGATGGACATACTTAAGTTTTTTACTGGCCATCTCAAATTTTTTTAAGACTCTGTCCCAATATTGCCAAGGACTGTAACAGTTGTTAATATGATATTACAACGGTTCTTACAGTCCTTGGCAATGTTGGAGCTGAGTCGGTCTTCAAGGAAATTTGAGATAGCCTGTAAAAAAACTAAAGTATGTCAATCTGTAGACATATTTAAGATTGTTTTGCCATGATGATGACCTTAAAATAGGGGAAAGCTGAACAGTAACAAATGAATTAGTTTTTTTTTTCTTCAAGACCTTGATCCAGAGTGTTTGTTTTTATTGATGAGAGATGACATGTAGGTTCGTTACTTTTCGTAGGTGCATGTAAGGTTAAATATATATGAAACAAATCCAAAATATAGTAGCCATAACTCGTCGAATTTCCTTGACCTCTTATTTCTGTACCATTGCAAATTTTTAGTATAGAAATGAGAGGTCAAGAAAATGTGGATCAATTTGGTATGCTACGCGGTGACGGATAAATTTACTAAAGAGAGTATATTTAGCCTTGTCGGCGTGTTGTCTGTTGAAAATCGGAGATGATCTGCGGACATTTCATTGGCGGAACTATCTCGTCAGAGACGTTTTTAAGTATTCAAAAAAAAATGGTTCAACGCTCTAAAAGTTTGATATATTTGTCACTCAGTTTGATAAAATTGGAAACAGCCCATTCTCGCCGTTATTCTCCTGTCAGGTCAGAAACTGACAGGTTCCTATAAAAAATAAGGAGGATAACGGTGGTGCTTTGTCGACCGAGTGGTCGCGAATCGCCCCGAGAAAAGGGTCTTGTTGCGACTCAGGCCGAGGGGAATAGCACAAAGAAAAATCCAAGGCGAATGCTATTGAATTGCTGCATCCGGATCCCCTCGTCGCCCAGCAGGTGTACACGACATCTGAGCGTGAACCAGCTGTCGTGATCTCCCTGGACTCATAAGTTTAACAGTTGACGGATTTATACATCCAACTGTTACCGTCGCGATTTATTAAAAAAAAAAAAAAATATATATATAT